AAGGCCACCAGAAATGACTCGGATTTCACCAACTGGCAGAGGGGGATTACCTGGGGGCCGAGGCTGTTGTGCGAGGCAGTCATGGCCTTGGTTAGGTTGGGCTGGCTGCCGGGGTGGGGTACGCCGGCGATTGTTTCTGAGGGGCTCGGTTGTTGTGGGCGGGTGTCCGTGAACCGGCCGAAACGCCCTTGACGAATGAGGGTCTCGACCTGATCCTTGAGGTTGATGCAGTCATCAGTGTTATGGCCATGGTCCTGGTGGAAAACGACAATATTTGGACTGGTCTTTCCGATTGGAAGGGGTCCGTGAAGGTAGGGGCCATTTGAGGGGGTAGTCTCGTTGGATCTAGTGGAGGACTTGTTCCATGGGAGAATTAAGGGGCGTGTACCGCTCAAACCGGCCGGACGGTCGGGCTGGTGCCGACCGGTCAGCGCGAGGAGGTCGGTCAGTATAGTGGGGTGTTTGGCTGTTATACTGGGTGTTTCTAGGTTCCGAGTCTTTTCTCTTTTCTCTGGGGATCGGGTTTTTGGATATTGGATCCTGCCGAGCGGCTAGTGAATTTTCGGCATTCATATATTTCTAGGCTTTGGATAATAGGGCGGCCATGGAGGTCGGGGGGTTTTTGGAGAGGGAGAAGAAGAAATCGGACGATCGCAGCCCGGCCATGAAAGCCGTGAGGATGACCTTATTGTCATTCTCCGCTACTTGTAGGGCTTCGGTGTCGAAGCGGGTAACGAAGCTACGTAGCGACTCCCCCTCGGTCTGACGGATGTTGAGGAGTTGGGTTGCAGGGCGGCGTTGGCGCTGGGCTCCAATGAAATGGCTGAGGAAGGAGTCGCTGAGATGCTAGAAAGTGGAGACAGAGTCCGCTGGTAACTGACTGAACCAACATGGTCTGCGCTTGGAAAGTAAGTTGAGACAATCACTTACCAAGCGCCCGGCCACAGCTTTGAAAGACTTGCGCGCCAGGATTGAGCAGTATGCTCTTCTCGAAGATGATCAGATCCCCATCGAGGTAGTGTCAGCAGAACAAACAGCCCGGTAGAAGAAGAGAACGGATCGAGGAGAACACCGAGGGATTGCAGTGAATGAGGTGGATAAGTCCAAATCCCATGAAGCCGTTGTGACTGTGTTCAAAGAGCCAATCTATTGAATCCTGGAAAAGATCAAGAGAGAGCCCTTCTTTGTTTGGCCGCCAAAAATGTTGGGAGATCCAGCTCGGCGCAATCAGAAGCTCAGATGCACCTGCCACCAAGACAGGGGACACATGAATCAGAACTGCAGGGCACTAACACTTGGAAGACCTGGTGGCAGCTGGACACCTAAGAGAATACATTGATCAGGATAAGGAAGTGGCCGAGCTGGAGAACCCACCTCCAGAAGCAAATATTGAGCATCCACCTCGGCTGATAATAAATGTGATCCATGGGACAACGGCTCAGGAATCTGAGGAGGCACTGAAGGAAGAGATCTCTAAGGCTGCGCAAATTCAGCGAATCATGTCAGTAGAGCCGACATCGAAAAAGGTGCGTACAGTACCTAAATTTACAGACATTCGGGCTCTTTTATTACAAACACTTATGAAAAATTTATAATCTATTACAACAAATCAAGGTTTTAGAAATAAAAATTTACAGACATTCGGGCTCTTTTGGGAAGTGAGTTGGTAGTCAAAAGCCAGCTTTTAATATATTTTAGGTTATATCATCTCATATTTTTTACACGTTTTTTTAAAAAAAAATCAAAAAAGATAAAAAGTTAATTTTTAACCATCTTCTCAAAATAGGTCAAATTCAGTTTTTAGGGACAAAATATTTTATTTACTACTAGTGTTATTGTTATATTTTTAGTGATAAAATTAGACATTTAATAATGAATTATATAATTTTGAGACACAAATCTTCATTTAAGAAAGATAAATATTTTGGCCAATTTTTTTTTTTGTCACAATTATTAGCAACGTTTTCACTAAAGTAATTGTTTTTTTTTTGACATTTTTGGACAACCTTTTTGTGACGATTGAAATTGATCTGCCAAGGTTTTATTTAACAGAATTTTAACTTTTGAGAATAGAAAACTTTAGACCCTAAAAATTTTATATGTTATAGCGATGTTTTTAAACTTATTAATATATGTCTTAAATTGGGGACCAACGAAGGCCGTACCATGTGCCCAGTTATAACTTTGATAGTCATTGGTTACGACTAATTTGTAGTGTTAGTTATAATTTTATATGACTCATGTTGATTATGATTTTATTATGATCTATTATAGTTCTTATTTTGGTTATTTTTATTATGTCTCAAGTATTATTTGGTTATGACTCATTTCAGTGTTAATTATAACTTAGTTATGATTTATTATAGCATTAGTTATAACTTTGTCATGACATATTGTGCTTATTATTTTGTTTATTCATTTTGATATTTAGTCATAACTCATTGTGATTCTTTAGTTACGACTGAAAGTAGTTTAGTTATAATAGTTTATAGTATTAATATCACAAATTATGATAATTTGTATATAATATACATCTTTAAAAACAGGTATGTATTGTAAAAGTTTATAAATAAAGACAAATGCTAACAAGTGCTTAATGTTGGAAAGCGTATAAAAATGCCTTAAAAATACGTAAAAATATATATTAATTTCAATAAAAATACATTAAGGTTATTAAAAAATACGCAAAATGATTGAAACCCCCAAATTTAGAGATTTCCATGACCCCAAAATGATCTGGACCACTCATGTATTCATTTTGTTTTTTTTTTTTCCTTATCTCTCTCACATGAGTGATCCAGATTATTTTGGAGGTCATGAAAATCCTCAAAATTGGAGGTTACAATCATTATTGAGAAAATACATTGTATTTTACAACAACAAGCCTACGGAACCAATCCATTTTACCCAAAAGTTTGCCAAAATCTCACTTGGAAGCCGCCTCAGCATGGAGCCTACTTTAATTTTTTTTTTAAAAGAAAAGAAAAGAAAAGAAAGAAAAGAAATTATCAAAATAAAAAAAATAGTATTGTTACTGAGCTATATATACAGCATTGTTATTCTGTTACAACAATTCCCATTGTTGACTGTGTATGTTGCTAATCTCAGTTTTTTGTCAATCACCAAGGTTTTGAAGAGGCTAAATGTGAAATGGGTCAGGTCCAAGCCTTGGGCCGGCCCAATCCGACAAAGTCTGAATCCAAGTGGGTCAGATGAGTATATGGACAAACCAGTTGAGCCCAACTTCATGATCAACAGTCCACCCAAGTCCTCAAGCACTTGGGCCCAACCCGCAGTGGAAAGGCTAGCCTAGCCGTAGAGCTGGTCTGGGCCGAGCTGCGAAACAGAATCTGTAGGCCGAATAGATAATGGGTCAGCCCATCTCCATAAATGATCCTGAAAAAGGCCGAGCCGAGGCACATCAGTAGCGAACTGAAGTACATGAGTATCGAGCTGGAGAAACCTCACAAGGAAACGTGGAAGCTGTGAGTGCAAACATGTGCAGGTTGCCACCTCAGCTGGTCCCCTACACCTAGAATCACGGAAGTCATTGAACCAAAGAAATGTGATTTGTTATCAGCATGCCTACAATGAGTATATGCAATCAATGACAACTGCCAGGTGGTCCCCCACCTGGAGCAATGCTGAAAGGACACCTGGTAGCATCCACATTCCATGAAACCATCTTGAGAAGCAAGTAAGGAATACTATATATATTTCATAAACTTCACATTGAAGGGGAGGGAATTGAACTGAACTAAGGTGAACTGTTCTAATCACACTTAACATACATTGCTTCTCCGATCACTGATTCCCACGCCGGAGGGGTTATCCGGCCAACCCCGGTCGGGCAGCTCTAACGGTGCTTCTTGTGGCAGGAGTCCCGGTCCCTGGATAGTCCAACTAAGTGTGGAGCCCCGATCCACTTTCATCTAGTGCGGAATCCAATACGCACAATTGGTGCGGTGAGCGTGGATCACTTTATCTCTGAGCTCTGCATTCAGTTCCGGCAATGGGGATTAAGGACATTCTGCCTTCAGCACATACTCCACAGACGGAGAAGACAAAGGACAAAGGTTTGGCACTCCCAACAATTCTGGAGGAGCAAACTGGATTGAACTCCCGAATCCGTCGAGCATCGACTGCCCTTCGCCGAAGGTTCTTCTCATCATTTCCTTTTGGAAAAGGATTATAAAGATCGAATTATAGATTCCATGGGAATGGAGATACAAGAATTGAAAGCTCAACTTAAGAAGGTGTTGGGTGATCCGACGGAAAAGAGGACGGAAGCAGAGCCCCCTCGTTTGCAACAAAGGAGCTCGTCTAGAGAACTACCAGTGAAAAAATTCCCCAAGAATGACTACGGGCAACGAAGCCTACCTATCCCAGCACAGAGTGAAGCGGCGAGTAACCACACCCGTGGGTCACGCCGGAGGAGGGCCAAGAGGCAAAAGATGGTTAGTCAACAAACTGAATACCCTCCTCAGGACCTTCGCACTTGGCTAATTGGCAATAGGCAGAACGAGCAACATCGAGATCATCTGGACCGTACTGTTCACCAGAGAGAACATCGAGCGCTGGACAGGCTCGTCTCTTCGCCATTCTCTCCGGAGATTGAGACCATGAGACCTCCAAAGAAGTTCACTCCACCAAAGTTCACTTCGTACGATGGGAAATCGGACCCTCTGACACATATCAGCCATTTTAGACAGATGATGTCCCTATGGAACCGAGATGAGGCACTGATGTGCAAAGTCTTCCCATCCAGCTTAGGAGAAACCGGACTCCGATGGTTCGATCGACTCCCCGCTGGATCGATTCATGGCTGGAAGCAGCTCTCCGAAAAGTTCCTAGCCAGGTTCATCTCCAATACTAAGATCCCAAAAGAGCCAGATACACTGTTCGGCCTCAGGAAGGAGCAAGAGGAAATGCTACGCAATTATGCTAGGAGATACTGAGAAGAGTATAATGATCTGGAAGAAAATGTGTGCAGTGAGTAGATGGCCATTATGTCCTTCAAACATGGTCTGCGCCCGGAAAGTAAGTTGAGACAATCACTTACCAAGCGCCCGGCCACAGCTTTGAAAGACTTGCGCGCCAGGATTGAGCAGTATGCTCGTCTCGAAGATGATCAAATCCCCATTGAGGTAGTGTCAGTAGAACAAACAGCCCGGCAGAAGAAGAGAACGGATCGAGGAGAACACCGAGGGATTGCAGTGAATGAGGTGGATAAGTCCAAATCCCACGAAGCCGTTGTGACTGTGTTCAAAGAGCCAATCTATCGAATCCTAGAAAAGATCAAGAGAGAGCCTTTCTTTGTTTGGCCGCCGAAAATATTGGGAGATCCAGCTCGGCGCAATCAGAAGCTCAGATGCACCTACCACCAAGACAGGGAACACGTGACTCAGAACTACAAGGCACTGAAACAACACTTGGAAGACCTGGTGGCAGCTGGACACCTAAGGGAATACATTGATCAGGATAAGGAAGTGGTCGAGCTGGGGAACCCATCTGCAGAAGCAAATATTGAGCATCTACCTCGGCTGATAATAAATGTGATCCATGGGACAACGGCTTAGGAATCTGAGGAGGCACTGAAGGAAGAGATCGCTAAGGCTGCGCACATTCAACGAATCATGTCAGTAGAGCCAGCATCGAAAAAGGTGCGTACAGTACCTAAATCCCCCTTGTGCACTGTTTCATTTACTAGCAAAGATTTAGAAGGCATACAGCACCCACATACTGATGCATTGATTATAACTATTGGGATTGGAAAACGATTTGATGTAAAATGAGTCCTAGTAGATCAGGGCAGTGCGACAAACATGCTGTATTATGATTTGTTCAGAAAGCTCGGCCTCTCCGAGCAGCATCTCACCCCAGCGGAAGCCCCGTTGGTCGGTTTCAATTCACAGCCGGAATGGCCGCTCGGCAAAATAGTATTGCCAGTCGTAGTGGGGACAAAAACCCTACAGATAGAGTTCTTGGTTATTAATACACCATCCCCTTATAACGCCATACTTGGCCATCCGTGGATTTATCGAATGGAAGCAGTCCCTTCAACCTATCACCAACTCATCCGTTTCCCAACGGAACACGGAGTAGAGCAGATCTTAGGGGATCAAGTTGCGTTCAAACATTGTTTCATGGTAGCATTAAAGGCAAAGCAGCTCCGCAATCGGGTACAGACGGTAAAAGTGGCCGGACAGCCAGTCTTGGAAGATGTGGGGGGAACTCCAGAGGAAAAGATGGTAGAGGATTTGGAGAAAGTCTTGGTAAGAGAAGATGACCCGGAAAAGTACTTCCTTAACGGTACCTCGCTAGGCGCTGATGAGAAACTTCAGCTGCTGGAACTGCTGAGGGAAAATATGGAGGTATTCGCGTGGTCAGCATATGATACTCCAGGGTTAGACCCAGAATTTGCTTGCCACAAGCTCAACATCAATCCTTCAGCTCGACCCATTGTACAGAAAAGTCAGAGATCCTCAGTTGAGCAAACCGAAGCAGTAATTGCCGAAGTCGAAAAACTCCTGGTCTCGAGAGCAATCAGAGAAGTTCAGTACCCGCAATGGCTGTCTAACACAGTTGTAGTCAAGAAGAAGAACGGAAAATGGAGAGTTTGTGTCGATTTCACTTGCTTAAACAAAGCCTGTCCTAAAGATAGTTTTCTGCTGCCTCGCATTGATCAACTAGTAGACTCAACAGCAGGGCATGAGCGCATGCGCTTTCTGGACGCTTATAGCGGTTATCATCAAATACCACTGTTCGGTCCGGATCAAGAAAAGACAACATTTATCACTCCGAGAGGGACTTACTACTACAGAGTAATGCTATTCGGCCTCAAGAATGCCGGGGCGACCTACCAGTGAATGATCACTCGGATGTTCAAAGACTAACTGGGGAAAACCATGGAAGTCTATATAGACGATATGGTAGTAAAAAGCAAGTTCGCTACAAACCACCTCACAGACTTGAGAGAAGTTTTTAGCATCCTGAAAAACCACCAGCTTCGCCTCAATGCCTCGAAATGCGCTTTCGGGGAAGGAACAGGGAAGTTCTTGGGATACATGGTCACTCACAGAGGAATTGAAGCGAATCCGGATCAAATCAAGGCAATATAGGATCTCGAAGTGCCAACAAAGTCTAAGGAACTGCAGAAACTAGCCGGAATGGCGGCCGCACTAAATCGGTTTATTAGCAAATCCTCAGATCAGATGAAGCCCTTCTTCCAGCTTTTGAGAAAAAAGACAGCATTTGAATGGAGTAGCGAATGTACCGAAGCACTGCAGAGCCTCAAAAGATACCCCAGTACACCTCCTCTACTGTCTACTCCAGAACCGGGAGAAGAGCTGTCCCTCTATCCAGTAGTCTCAGATCATGCCGTTAGTGCAGTATTAATTCAAGAAGTTGACAAGGAACAGAAACCAGTATATTATGTTAGCAAGACTTTACTAGATGTCGAGACATGGTATCTACCACTGGAAAAGTTAGCTTACGCACTGCTTATCGCCTCAAGAAAGTTGTAACATTACTTCCGGGGGCATACCATTAACATCCTCACTGAATTCCCCCTCAGATCTATATTCAGCTGAGCTGATTTCTCTGGCCGAACAGCAAAGTGGGCGGTAGAACTTGGTGAGTTTGACATTCGGTATCAACCCAGGGCAGTAATCAAGGCCTAGGTCTTGGCGAATTTTGTCACAGAATTTACTCCCACCCAGAGCACCAAACCGGGGAATCTGAGTTCGGCACAGGTGCCATGCGCCACCGAACAAGGAAAACCCAGCGCTTCGGAAGTATGAAAACTCTTTATTGGAAACATCTGGCAACTCTACGTCGATGGTTCGTCCAATAACCGAGGCTCGGGGACAGGAGTAGTTCTTATTTCTCCAGAAGGATTTATCTGGGAACAGGCTCTCAAGCTAGGCTGGAAGGCTTCAAACAACGAGGCCGAGTACGAAGCGTTATTGGCTGGCTTGCGTAGCGCCGAACACTTCAGTGCAGAACAACTTCTTGTTTTCAGCGACTCACAACTAGTGGTAAACCAGCTTTCTGGGGTCTATGAAACTCAAGATGAAAGAATGGCTATGTACGCAGGCAAGGCCAGAGACCTACTCAGAAAATTTCAATCCATACGAGTGGAACGAATCAGTCGGGACAAAAATAGCTACGCAGATGCTCTGGCATGCCTCGGCTCATCAGTGGATACAAAGGATGCCAGGAGAGTTTGGGTTGAGTTTGTACCAGAACCAAGTATTGCATCTCCAGTCCTCTGCAATAACTTAGAGCCGAGGTGGATGGATCCAATATTGGTCTTTCTGAAATCTGGTAAACTACCCGAAGATAGAAGGGAAGCCAGCAAGATCAGGCATAAATCAGCTCGATTCTGGATCTCACCGTCTGGGAAGCTATGCAGACGTTCCTACCTTGGCCCCTACCTCCTATGTGTGCATCCAAATCTCGTCGAGAATGTTCTCTACGAAATTCACGATGGGATTTGTGGATGCCACGTTGGCAGAAGGTCACTGGTGCACCGAGCCCTCACTCACGGGTACTGGTGGCCACGGATGCAACAAGATGCACAGTAGTACGTACAGAGGTGCGACAAATGTCAGAGGTTTGCTCCACTCATTCATCAGCCAGCCAAAACTCTCACTCCACTCACCAGCCCATGGCCCTTTGCGCAATGGGGCCTGGATATTGTTGGACCATTGGCGTGAGGCACTAGGAACAAGCGATTCTTCATTGCTGCAACCGACTATTTCACCAAGTGGGTTGAAGTTGAGACACTGGCAAGCATCAAAGAGGCCGACACAAAGCGGTTTATTTTAAGAAATGTGGTAGTGCGTTTCAACATTCCGGGTACTGATTGCGGACAACAGAACACAGTTTGATGGTAAGATCTTCAAAAAAATTTGTGCCGACCTCAGAATTAAGTATAGGAACTCTTCTCCCGGGTACCGACAGAGCAATGGTCAGGCAGAAGCGTCGAACAAAACCATCATCAACGGAGTGGAAAAGCGGCTTGAACATGCCAAAGGCAAATGGGTTGAAGAGTTACCAGGTGGTCCCCCACCTGGAGCAATGCTGAAAGGACACCTGGCAGCATCCACATTCCATGAAACCACCTTGAGAAGCAAGTAAGGAATACTATATATATTTCATAAACTTCACATTGAAGGGGAGGGAATTGAACTGAACTAAGGTGAACTGTTCTAATCACACTTAACATACATTCCTTCTCCGATCACTGATTCCCACGCCGGAGGAGTTATCCGGCCAACCCCGGCCGGTAGCTCTAACGGTGCTTCTTGTGGAAGGAGTCCCGGTCCCTGTATTGTCCAACTGGGTGCGGAGTCCCGATCCACTTTCATCTAGTGCGGAATCCGATACGCACAAGTTTGTAAAGCAAAGGTTTACTCAAAACACTGATTTTGCTTCCATTAGATTTTAGGATGTAAATTTAACAATTTTGTACGAAGCTCCAAAAGTTAGAAACAGAAGAAACACTCTTATATCTTAGCGAAGAAAGCAATTATTGTAGTAATATATCATTAAACAATCTATAATAATTAAAATCCTCACATACTGAATTGATTATTAAGAAGCTACTTCTTTCATTATGGAAAAACAAATCCACACAATCCCACTAGAACTTGGAAACAAAATTGTTTAAGTTTTTTAGGACATGTTTGATTGAATGGATTAGAGTATGTTATTAAGATTATTAATTCGTGAGCCTAATTATCTTATGTTTGTTTTAACATTTTAGTTTCGGATTATTAATCTAATAGATAATTAATCCAACAAATTTGCAGGATTATTAGTAATAGGGGTAGGAGTGGAATTATTAATACAATGGATAATTTATCCTATTAATCCAATTGAATAGTAAATATCATACTATGTTTGATTCACAAGACTAATAGTGAGGTATTAATAGTCCTATCAAATTAGTGTGGTATTCACTATCCAATTGGATTAATAGGATAAATTATCCATTGGATTAATAATCTCACTCCTATCCCATTACTGATAATCCTACAAATTTGTTAGATTAATTATCCATTCGATTAATAATCCTAAATCAAAATATTAAAACAAACATATGTTAATTAGGCTCACGAATTAATAATCTCAATCTCATAGTCTAATCCATTCAATCAACACATGCCCTTAAATCCTAAGCGCTAATCTGGAGAAATATAACGAGAGATTGGTCCAATAATGAGAGGTAAGCTTGGTGTAACAATGGTGGCAACCGCCGCGACCACGGAAAGCAATTTCTCTTCTTTGCTATCAAGAGAGATACATAACCTAATTATTATCCGTTTGGCAAGAGCTAAACGGAGCTTTTTTGGCTATTTTAGTCACAAAAGACAAAATAGGTTATTTTAGCCATAAAAAACAAAATATCACATCCAACCCATAATCATTATATTCTTCTCTCACAAAAAAAGCCAAAAAAGCCAAAAAGCCCAAAAGCCCTTCCCAAACCAAACTTTTTAGCCCAGGCTAAAATAGCCAAAAAAACCAAAAAGCCAAAAAGCTAACCCACTTCCCAAACGGAGGCTTAATA